CCACGAATTAAGCTTCTAAAACAGCGTGAAATAGGCTTTTCATTCATTTTTGTGTACAGCACCAATGTTTGCCAAATTGACAAGAGTGAGATAGGAAATAAAAGCAAAAGGAACCTTCAAAATCGATAGTATCAATCTCCATTTTCATTATCTTTCGTAAAGCGAGTATATTCCAGAATGGTAATGTACCCGTTGCACAAATCTCATATCCTATGATAGGGTCAAGATAAAAGGTATCTGCTCCGCTTGTTCACAATGCAATTATTGCTTACTTTGCAACATAAATATCTGTCATGATGAAAAAGAAAAAGCAATAATATAGAATGCTCAGTGGCTAGTCTAACCAATTACCCACTATTATTTAAGAGTGATAGTTTATTTCGCTACTTTTTCTCATTGTTGAATCGTCTTTCAAAGACCCTGACAGGGAACTCTTTGCCGTATTTCTCAATATATTAATTTTTATATTCCACTTGAAAGAATAGCCTTATTCTTTTAGTGACGATCGATTTTGGATCACTTTATGTTCTTATGAAATGTTTATCGACGCATTATCTTAAAAATAAGGAAAGATCTCGTTCGATCGAGGCTATTGCCTCCCTGTAGAGAGAGGGTATTGGGTCAATGTCTTTCACATCCCTAATTTGGGCGGGTATTGCTTCCCTGACAGAAAACTCATTGTTCATGTAGGAGTTTCACTCAGCCGCAATGCTGATGCCGAAAGAGATCCTGGTGGGGCGAAAACAAAAATCATACGTGGTAAATTTAAAGTACCGTCTAAGATGAAATAGATTTTCTCCGTGTCACAACTGAACCTTTTCCTTGAACTACATTGTATGATTCAGTTAAACCCACCACAAATTATTTCTCTGCTAGGGCTGCTGAGGCAAGTTATTCAGGATCTTCAGCAGATGCACCTCTTTGCAAGCAAGGTCAACAGCAACACTCACTTGACTGAAGAGTTAACGCAGATTGCTTTAGATAAGGGTTTCAGAATTTCTGACAGTCAAGGATCAGGAAACTGCATGTTTCATGCCTTGTTAGAACAACTAGAGTCGGTCAAAGGAATCAAAATGCAACATGGCCATTTGAGACAATCTTTGGTTCAGTACCTCAGGGAAAACCCAAAGCTGGTGAGTTACTGTAAGCCTTAAAAGAAAGAGAACTAGTAGTGGATTAGCTGTTTTTTCTTTTGTGTTTAATTCTCCCCTTACATCTTCGAGTATTGTTTTAGGTTGGCCTGAAAAGTTTATTCTGTGTTCGCATATTCTCATGGATAGAGATAGGTACTTGAGCAGTGAGTTTATTTCCCCTAGAGCTGAATCGTTATAATCACCGCAAGATTGTATAAAGAGCTTGTATCTTGGATCTCAGTGCCAAGCAGTAGGCAACTTAGTTTCTCTCTTGAGAAAGAAATTAAATGGTATTCTTTTCCACTTTCTTGTCTGATCCAAGTGTACTGTATGTCTGGAGGAGTCATCCCAACTTAAAGAATTATTCCTTTTAGAATCGATCACCTGCCATCAGTTTAGCACGGATCTAAGAAAGACGTTGATAGTTTTTGAAGACCTTTCCACCGATGCAAAATATATTAGAATAAAATAGAATATTAGCAGTTTTATTTACTACCTCCCTGAGATTTCCCTCGCGTGGTCGCATTTCAATAAATAATCATTTCTTAGTAGTGGTATAATGGTAAACATTTGTAATAAGTTCTATGCACGGCTATGTGTCATCTTTCTTTACTTTAGTCTTTATTGAATATACAAGTAAAAATACATACCTATATTTACATGTTTAAATTATTAATTAAAAAGATAGAAAGCGGAAGCATATTTAAAATACAGTCTATTAATATGACTAGCTTTGAAACTTTCTGTGTTGATACAAGGTGGTAGGCTTGTTTGAGTTCTCAAACCTTTGGATGATTCTTTAACTTTGGGCAGCAAATTGTACAGCGGATGAGTAGCCAGGCAGCTAATCCTCTTTGACACTGACCTATCTGTTTTCTCAAGCAAATCATATATAGCTATAGCATAGGATATAAAACTGCGTTTATGACATCTACGAAGGAACCGCTGCACAGTATTAATGGGCTTGCCAATGTGCTTGAAATTATGTTGATGCCAAACTGCAGCTGCCCATTTAGATTCTACAGGATGACATTAGGTGATTTTTGCCTTAGTTACTGCTGCTTGCCCACCAAGTTCAAAGTGTTTAAAAGGTACCACTGCTTTTTTCAGTAAGGAGGTTGATTTTTGTTTTGGAATTCAGGTCTTAGTTGTTTCTTTAACTGTCTCTTCTTACAGACAGATGGAACAGATCTATTTCACTTCGTCCATGGCCATGAAACATGGGCTGATTACCTAACATACATGGAACAAGATGGCTCGTGGGGAGACCACCTCATTCTCTGTGCAGCGGCAAATAGCTTTAAAACGTGCATTCATGTGGTCAGCAGTCTACAAAATGAAGTAGTCGTCAAGCCACATCGTCCTGTTAACGAAAGCAAGCCACTTGTGCTGGGCCATATCCATGAGGTACACTATGTCAGCCTTCAACCCATACAAGGTAAGAATGAAAATGCACAATGCACGTGCTGTTCAATATTAAAGCAATGAAGATCAATTAACATCCATAGCAACATTCGAAAACCTTATGTTTCCTGCGTAAAGCACTAGCTGAGTCGAAAGGTTGACCATCGAGTAGTCAACACTTCTCGAATCACAGCGTGGTTATTAAGTTGATCTTTGTCAGAGATAACCGTGAGAATGAACTAAGCTTTCCATTTCCTTGCTTGAAAAACAAACCAGCGCCTTAAGTAACTTGAAATGTACCATTGCCGTCGTTTCATAAGTCGTGCATATTATAAAATAAGCTCCAAGCTACATTCCTCGATGGTTTTTAGAACTCGTAGAAGTGATTCATGAAGATGATCAATTTACAGTTTGTTTCAAAAAGATGGCAAACGAAGAAATCGTGGGAAGCGAATTTGGTGTTCAGTCATCGGGTTCTTCAGGTATATCAGGGCTCGACACTAACTTTTTAACTTACTAAACCAAGTGGCTAGAGACAAACAGTAGATTTTACGACAATTTCAGTTTGTTTACTAGCTAAACTGGACAGTGGAAATCGAAAACGATTAGCCAAAACTGAATTTCTACTAGTCTGTGGCTAGTTGGCTACCGTCAGTGTAGAGCCCTGTATATTAAGAAAGGCTATTTGTATTTGAACAAGAGTCGCTCGGTAGGAGGACATTGCAATGCATACATGCTAAAGTCAAAGTTATTTACAAGTCACACCTGTTGAATATGAAATCGACTTCATGTATTTGAGGTGCAGGGAATTGAAGGTATCGTTGTGGGAACACTTGCTTTCCACCATTGAGACCCGGTCGGGTTATATCCAAGACCTTGTTCGTCGAGCCCTCCGGATTTTTTCCTCCCTCCATATTTATTGCGATTTCCAATCTCTATGCGGAGAACCATCTCCTGGGAAACGTGAAATTTTTGTTCAATAATTTTCTTTTGTTTTATGGTTCCATTTACAGGCTGCAGTAAAGATTCTCAGAAGTAATGCTTACAAACAAGCAAAACCTTCCCGAAGAAACAGAACGCAATAAGGAAATAAGGAAAAACTGCGACGTTTGAGGAATTCTTCGACGAAATTCTATTTTAGCTGAAAAAATCAGCTTTAGATGAAGCAAAGATTCTTAGAAGTCACAGGTCCTTCAGTTTGGATGAGCTTAAGTCAATGAGTTGCCTTCAGGTTTTTGTGGTTTGACAGAAATTATGATGTAGAGTAATTCTAAACTGAGTGTAAAACTGAAGTAATTCGATATTGCTTTTGTTTTCCTTTATTTCGGTCTGTTTTGTCTAGAGACGCGTACAATGTGCTAAACAAATCAGACGCCGAACGAAAATGAATCGAGACTTGGTCGCCCACGTTTCCCCACATTTTTGGTAGTTTGCTTGTCTTTGTTTTGAAACCTCGTTGACTAATAATTACGTAATATTTCGTTAATATTGGCTAAGGTAATTACTTTGATTCGTTTTTAGAAATTTTCACGAAAACAACAGTTTTGTTTTTTAAATTCTAACACTATTTAGCTAAAAAGGAAACAGAGTAGTCATTCCCCCACTTCCTTTCCCTCCAACCCTTTCTCCGCTGACCCTATACTTGGAAATACTTCGTTCCCGGGAAATTTTACCTGTAAATATGTTATGATACAAATATGATCCTAATCAACCCCTCCCCATGAGAAATCAAGTACTCTGGAAGCAGCTGTTCTCTACATTCCTTGTCAAGAATAGAAAGTGACAGCAGAGGGTATCAGTTCACTTATTTTGTTTTATATGTACCTGAAAGTTTTAGCCTAATTATAGGGATACAGCTAGTACAACCACATCAATTGAACTTTTCGATGATGAAAAGTTATTTTCTTCAAAATGCCTTCAATACAGTTGTTGTAGTCTGGAAGAATTTGCAGTTTATTTCCTTTGATAGATATTTTAGTATTTATCACCGTGAATAAATAACTTATCCATAGATTTTTTCACATTCCAGTAACACTCGTTATGTTTTAAGTAAGGGAATAGGGGTTATGTCAAACATATTGCTATATGACCCATTGGTAGGATAAACCGAATTAAACGTAGGACTTGCGTTGAATAAGAAAAAATTTATTTTTTTTGCAAGGGAACTTCAGCATCCTGAAACACTTAAGGTAACCGATAACTTGACCTGTAAAATCATTAAACGGATACCTCTCAAAGTAAAATCATGATTAAATTATAAAACAGACGTGTGTCGTCTTTGCATAAGATCACTACGGAAGAGTCTGTTCATTTTTTACGCGTCTAAAACTTGAAGAGGAGAAACACGATATCCCTGGAGATATCTAAAGATCACTACAACGTAACTTCAAATCCAAACCTGTGACGTATCACTTAAAGAGGAGTACCCCAATTAAAAATGTGTCCGATTAGAATCCCAGGAATTGTAAACTAAGCGAAAATGAGACCCTCATATCCAAAACATAAACATTTTGAATTTTCGTGGGACCGGGGGGCTGTTTATCACGCGCTACTGAGGAATCCAACATCTTTCTTTTTACAATCAACACATCCTGAAATTTTACTGCCTTTCTTCATATATTTACGTAACTTGTACAGGTAGCTTTGTTCCGTAGAAAAATGGGAAACAGTATTTGGTTGAAAGTTTTCGTTTATGGATTGCTAGAACGTTTTTCTTATTTTCAGAAATTTACGGAAATCACATTTTGCAAGTACGGTTCAATTTAGGGCGTTGTTGGATGAATTCACTACTAACCGCGTTTAAAAGATTACCACTGGACCAGGCGGACAATAGAATTGCATTTACTACTGCTACCAAAACGTGCCTTTTCCACTGCCATCGCCAAACAGCCATGACTGGCATGTTCTGATAACGTGTTTCAATCGCAAGAGACACACTTGTGAAAAACCACTCAATAACCAGTGGAACAGTAGTATAAATAACCAGCGACAGGATCAGGTTTGAAAAGGAATCGTTTAGTAAATAGATGAACTGATAGAAAAATAAAAAGCCGTTTACAGAAACTATGGCAATAGACTCAAACATCATGCTGATGATGGCGATGTCGGCCATGAGCCTCTCGCGGCGAGGGGTTCGAAAGCTTCCCCATGGAGCTGATTTTCTTTTCCAAAGCTGATGACAAAAATGATCGATAAGCACCATTGTGCTGCGCTCCACAACTTCCGTGATTCCGTGAATCACTCCAAGCACTACGATGTAGAGCAAACCGTCAAGTTCAGCTTGTAAAAGTCGACACACGACGGCGGCACCAAAATACAATGGCACCAATAAGACATAAGAATATCCTGGATGAGTGATGTTCCATAACTGCTGAACAGAAATTCGCGAAAGAACTTTCGCTATAACCCCAATCAGAGGAGCAAAAATTGCAATTAGTAATTTTCCATTCCCTTTTTGCTTTTGATAAGCTGGGTAGACGAAATAGATGGCAACAAAGGCGATTGTGTATGTCAAAAATCCTGGCAGCATTAGTTTACAAAGGTGTATGATCATTTTTTTTCCGGATCTTACTCCAAAGCTCTTAGCAAGATACCACAGCTGAAGAAAAGGTCCCATGGCAATGAATAGGTATATTGGAATTCTATATAAAGGAGAGAGCCAGGCATAAGGCTTATTAACGGCTTGCAGAATAACACAGTAAAGTGCATGTAAGCAGTACATTGCAAAAGATATGAGAAAGAGCATTTTTTTAAGACCATGTAGTTGGTGTCGGCGGAAAAGAAATAAAGTATTGCAAAATAAACCGAAATGGAAAATGAGAGAAACAGTTAGATCCCAAACTGTAATAATCCACTGCATGCTTTCCGTGATAAACCTCTCTGGGACAAACGCGCAGCTAAGCAAGGTTTTGTACATGAAATAAGAGAACAGCAAGTATATTGCACCTATAACAGAAGCAGTTATAAGCGATATTAGAGCTCCAATGTACATTGATTTACAAATTGTCTTCATAAAGGATGGTCTTAATTGCTTCCAGGCCATCGCTCTTTCCTCGGGCTTTTCATCTTGGATTTCTTCGTGTTCCTCCACAGAACATGCGTTTATGAGCCTCACATTTATACCTCTAACTGCCAGGTAATGGTAATGGTAATGGTTCGTGCTTGTGGTCTCTTCGTTGCTGTATTCTTGGTAAATAAGCTCGTCAACGGGACGGTAGTACCATTCTCGTCCCGTGCTTTCTAAAGGATTTAAGCCAAAGGACTCGATAGTAAACTCTGGTTCCTCTGGGTGATAGTGTTCCATAACACTCCGTGTGAAAGAAAATGCTATCTTTCCAAACACTTCTATCAGAATACTTCCTGCCATGCTGAGAATACCAAACTTTTGAGAGCATACAAAGAAATCTGTCCAGAGAGCAGCTAAATCCCCCAGGAATTAATGAATTTTTTTTATAGAAATGTAACACTATTGTGGTTTGTTATTCAGCGGTGGATTTCCAAGCTGAAAAAGATACAGTTTCTTTCCGAGGCATAATCTATTGTTCTTAAACTTTTCTTCCACGAGGCCGGATGTAGTTGGTCGCAGTTTGTTTCAGAATTTTCAGACAATGCACTTCCTTTAAATTGTTTGTAGTGCACAACTGTTGAAAATGAATTTCTACGTCAAAAGATAGCCATAAGAATCTTCTCATTAAAAGATAGATTGTTTTTCAATTCCCAAGTTGTAATGAACATGAGGTTGTTTGAGGAATCGGTTTCACATGGGAAGAAATCAATGAACTCGTAATGTCATATTGCCATTTCAAGGCAAATTTATCTTGTAAGCTTCTGAGGCTTGAAAAATCATAAATAATAGCTGGATTTGTAACACTTCTTTGGCACATGTTTTTTATTTGTGAATCAAAATTCGTAGAGAGCTTAAACAAGACCGAAAATGACTCCTAGTAAGTAACCGCAGAATATTAATCAACAAACCATATTCCACATAACGGGGTCTCTAAACCAGTGATTTAACAAGGGTCTGACTGTAAACCCTTTTTCTTGTAAAGTTTTAGTAAATCTTTCTGACCTATACTTAATGTCTCAGTGCCTTTGTGACGTTCGTTACGGTCATTCCCGAGTGTCCTAATTTATGGCAGGAAGTATTCTGATAGAAGTGTTAGAGAAGATATTAGTTTCGTTTATATGGAGTGTTATGGAACATTGCAACCCAGAAGAACCAGCATTCACTATCGAGTCATTTGGATTCAATCCTTTAGAAAACACAGGGCGAGATTGGTACAACCCTCCAGTCGGCGAGCTTATTTACAAAGAATACGGCAATGAAGAGAGCAGAAGCACGTACTATATCGCAGGAAGAGCTATAAATGTGAGGCTTATAAATGCATGTTCTCTTGAGGAGCTGGAAGAATTGCAAGGTGATTTTTCGGAGGATAGAGCGATGGCTTGGAAGCGAGTAAGACCTTCCTTTCTGAGAACAGTTTGTAAATCAATGTACATCGGGGCATCCATTTCGCTTTTCACCGCTACAATTGTAAGTGCTGTATACATCGTTTTCTCTTATCTTTCTTACAAAACCATCAGTGCCTGCGCATTTGTTCCAGTAAGGTTAGTTCCAATGAACGTGAAGTGGATAACGACAGTTTACGATGTTATTTTAAGTAAGGTCTTTTATTTCTGGATGTTTTGGAATATGTTGTTCCTTTTCCGCCGGCAGGGTTTAAGAATGAACTTGTTTCTTGTCAGCTGTATTATGTACTTGTTTCATGTACTTTACTGCATAGCTCTACAAGCCGTTGGAAAGCCTTACGAAGAGTCTTTTTTACTCTACATTCCATTGTACGTGTTCTTTGCTATCGGTCCCTGTCTACAATTCTCTTATATCGCATGGAACTTAAGGAGAGGATCAAGTAAACAAATTGCAATTCTTGTTTTTAAACTTAAGCCGCCTGGCTGTTTGTCATGCTCATTGGCCTTTGTTGTGATTTTCTTCATCTACCCAGCCTACAACAGACAAAAAGAAAGCCACGGCAAATTATTAATTGCAATCTTTGCTCCCGTCATTGGTGTGATTACTAAAGTTATTTCTCGAATATCTGTTCAACAACTATGGAACATCACTCTTCCGGGATATTCCTATGTTCTTCTCGTGCCAACGTATTTTGGTGCTGCCGTTGTGACTCGAGGTTTACAAGCGGAGCTTGACACTTTGGTTTACATAGCTACTCTTGGAGTAATTCATGGCTTTGCAGAGGTCGTGGAACGTAGTACCATGATGGTTGTCGACCACTTTTGCTATCGGCTTTGGAAAAGATCTTCAGCTTCCTGGGGAAGCTTTCAAACTTCTCGCCGCGAGAGACTAAACGCAGACACTGCTATCATGAGCATGATGTTTGAGTCTGCTGCCATAATATCTGTCAACGGCTTGTTATTATTTTATCAGCTTATTTACCTACAAAGCGATTCCTTTTCAAATTTGCTAGTGTCGTTTGCCATTTATACTTCAGTTCCACTGGTGATAGAATGGTTTTTCACCAGTGTGTCTCTTGCGATTGAAACACGTTATCAAAACATGCCGGTCATGGCTGTTTGGCGAAAACAGTGGAAGAGACACTTCTTGGTGGCTTTCTTAAATGCGATTCCACTAGCTACGTGGTCCAGCGGTAACCTATTAAGCACAATACACGATCACTTTAGCAAGGATCTGCCACCTTTATCTAATCTTTCTTGTAAAATCCCCTTTTCTTCAAATTGGAGATGTTTGACAACCCAAGGTTTCCAATTAGTCCTGGACAGATTAGAGAGCTGCTGGTTGGATTCATTGTATGATTTTAATAAAAGTTTCCAACCAGTCATTCAGCAACTAAAAATTCAGCAACCTGAGCAACTAAAAATTCATTTTAATCTATGTTTTTTTTTGTACCTGCTACGCCTATGGTCGAAAAGTTGCGACCTACATCTCCATATAAAGGCAAGCACTCGAGGGAAATAAGTAACTGGTAGAGTATCAAAGTTCTGTTAAGTGATATTTGTCAAAAAAGACTATGAAGGAAAGCCAAATAAAAGAGAAACACTTTCCTTTGGTTTTTTTCCCCTTTTTTCCCTTCTAGATCATGAAACGCCTTGGAAGGAAATTTTCTGGAGCACTCAGTTCAACTGGGCTGAAACTTTAACGAAACTGAAACGGGAGTGCTTTATTCATACAGTACAGCAAAAAGTTAGAGAAAGATTTTTTTTGTCTCGTCTCTGTATTATCCTGTTCACATATACGACGCTTTCATCGACATTGCCTATCGACCTTATCGCAGCTGTATGCAGGAAGCGTGTTAAACATGGTTCCGATAATTGCTTTACTCCTCGTGGAGTCTCTGTGGCTTAATGGTAAGACATCGGAGCGACGAATCTGAAGGCATGACATTCGAATCCTCTTGGAGACTAATAGCTTTTTTTTGTCTTACACTCGAGACAAGACTAATGAAAATCTTTTCCACATTCTTTCAAATGCAATTCGCCTCTATTTTTTTATCTATTATCAGGTGTAAGTATCAGGACTAACCCAGCTCAATGCGCAGTGAGGCCGGTCACTCGAACAATAACGAGTAACTCGGTGCCCACGTTGCTTTCTACTTACGTGATAGAGTGACAGTGCTTTTAAAACATTTTGCATACTTTTAGTGATGGTTTTCCCTCATTAGAGAATAACAGTGCTTTAATTTCTTTCGGTTTTTTTTTCTTTCAACAGTAATTTTGCGTTCTTTTTTTAACTCCCTTCATACTAGAAGAGGGAACGACTTTTCAATTATTCATGCAATTTTTAAATTGAGGCCTTAAATACGGGTTTATTTACCTCGGAGATCTACTTCTTTTAACAATATCAGTGTTTCAAATGAGCTATTTCAGGTTTCAGAGTAATTTCTTGGACAGATATCTCTTCCTAGAATTCATTTGCTGTGAGTTTTTTTTCGTGTCACATTCCCATGCCAATCACTCATAATACCTTTCATTTAGCTTGATTATTGCTTAGCTAAGTGAGCATGCAAACTGAACTCCGAGCCAAATCTGTGACGTAGCAGNCGATTATTGGCTGCAAATATTAATCCATATTCATCAGAAGTTACAAAATTTTCGGCAAACCACACTGTTAGTCGTACTTTAAAGACGTGCTGAACTTTTTGTTAAACATGACATTGGAAGAAGACATTGGACCTGAAAAGAAGAACAACGAAAGCAGGGAAGCTTTGTCCTTGGAAAATATCGCTTTAAACAGCTTCAGAGATCTTAGCGAGTCGTACTATCTCAATTCAACGAAATAGCGCGAATCGGTTACTCGGTCTTAGCGGCTCTTCGACTCGAAATTCGACCGAATTAGGGTGTTGGCTTTGAGAAAACCAGAAATTGTAATTATGAAATATTTTGAGTTAAACGCTCGAATAAAAATGTTTTGGTTGCTCAATCTTTTGGGACTCCATTTTGTATTTGAGTGCTGCCACGTGGAGGCATGGCTCCTCTACTCAAATAATAATGTAATAACACTTAATAATTTTTGGTATCCTCCCTTTTTCTATAATGTTGTTAAAAGGTAAAGGAATTATACAGAATTTTTAAGTTAACGACCTCATGGAGTAAGCATTTCCCCATCACATTTATATTTTGTACTTTTAGGAGGAGCAGTGTTGTTAGAGGGGTGGAAGAACAAAGATCCTGGTCAAGGGAAGACTTTGAAATTGCTCAGGAATTTAATGGAAACTGCAAAGATAAGAATATTGGAACATTTTTGTAATCCTAGCAAAAATGGTGGCCCTTTATATGTGTAATTAATGTACGAAGTCTTCGTTCTTTCACCAATTGTCTTGGAAGAGTTTTAAACAGATTACATGATAAGTGAGTAATTCCCAATTGGCCACCATTTTTGGAATAGTTTACTGTGTTACTGATTGTTATGCAGACCCTGAGAGATTAATTGACTTATAGGACCTATCAGCTATCATTTGGTGTAATTTATCTATAAGATAATCTCGTTGCATCGAGAAGGAAACTGAAATAATCGGACACTAATATAATCCTAGCTACGAAATGCGGCACAGTCGACCAATGAATTTCGAAGCTCTGATCGCTCACTTTTTTGGGTTTGTTTAACAGTTAGTATTATTGTTATATCCTAGTTGATGTTGCAAAGAAGTGATATGAGGGTGGCACTCACAACTTACTTCGGCCGGAGAAAGATCGAATGAAACTCAAAATTGAACTGAATCTTTTGACGAGTTGACTGACTCCGCTGATTCATTTACGTCAAAAATCACATTGCTGAACACCATCGACTTAGCGCTTCTCTAACGACTGACTTTAAAATATAAGCTAGTTTACTAAGTAAAGAGGACTCCTCACAACAGATGGCACCTTACAGACAACTTAAAAACACCAACACGGTCACCAATGGACTAAACAGAACAAACTAACATTTCCGATATACAAAAACTTACTTATCAAAGGATGAACGCCATATGAGTCTATCAGCCATTTTAATGCAAAACTGGCCAATCAGCTCTACGAACCAACGTTGTAACGTTCGGCTTCGAAACAATTATTTACTCGACTCTGATGACGTCTGCTCAGGCCAGTGAAGCCTTTTCAGGACTACCCTCAGGACTACCCTCAGGACTACCCTCAGGACTACCCTCAGGCAAAAGATCGAACTACTTCGTTGACAACTGAATGATACCACGTAAAGAAGTTGGCCAAAAAGATATTAATTCATTGAAAATTTATTCTCGGCAGGAACTTTTAAACTGGAAATTTAGGGAATCCTATTGAAAAAAGAAGTACTCGTTTTTCATGCACGAAGCAAGAATTCAATACAATGCCACCTTTGATTATATACATTTCTTTGTACCATTAACTGAGTCGTTTTCCGTTTGAAGTAGTATGTTTTTAAAACCCTAATGCCTGGTCTCTTCGATAAACTGATAAAGTTGAAAATTACCTTTACACAAATCAGTTTCAATTGACTCCTGTTTACGACGGAGAAATACAGATCATTACTCGAAAGAGTTCATTCGTAATAAATGAGTGTTGAATTGTTTCACAAGTCGTTGAAAAATAGCGAACATATTAAACGAAAATCAACTTGAACGTGCGTGCAAAATTATTCACCAGTAAGCAGTAAATAGGTGTATTGGCGAAGATTCGGTGTTATAAAAGACCATCACTGTCTCACACGAAAACAATACGTTATTATTTGTTCATCACTATTCTGAAATTTTCGAAAACACATAATTTTGTCCAGACAAACGTTACAATCAGAAATGCAAATCAAACAAAATTAGAGACTTTAATGGTTTGAAAAATCAAAACAGCTGTCACTTCTATTTGTTGAATGCTTTCACATATTGATGACCAATTTTCACGAAGATTTTAGAAGTTTCAAAAATATTTGCTTAATATTTTTAACTGAAATTTGTATGGAAAGCACAATGAGTCCACGAAATCGAATTGTAAACCAAAGATTATCATATTGGAATTTGACGAGCTAACTTGTTTGTTGTGGTTGGTGAGACAGGAAGATGGTCAAATTACGGCCAAATTACCTAGGTATTTCTATGAAACTCGTGTTTTAACACCAAGGTAAACAGAGTGTTCATGAAGGTAACCTGCAGTAAACCACTGTAAACAGACAGTGATCGAGGAGAATAGAGATTGTGGGAAAATGGATTTGATCTTATTTGTAGTTTCCTTTATTTTTAACTTAATTTTGTTAATTTTTAGTTTTGGCTAGATTTACAAGCTTTGATGAGTTAACTTGTTATAAATATATACTGAAAACTAATCTTATAGCAGAGAATTCTTTGTTCTTTCCTCTCTTTCATTCTTTGATCGCCACGCTTTTCTAGTGGCAAAAAGGAAAACGTACGGTGGCCCATTAGTGCAAGTCAGATCAATACGTTTGAAATCGCCAAATTTAAGTTATATTTCAAAAAATAACTTACTGCCCCCATTGCCTCTCGATCTTTTTGTAAGGAATAGCCAAATTCACAACTATGGTACTAGAACAGTTAGTAATTATCGAACGCATTTGTGCCGTACAAATCTCAAGCAATTTACAATTCTCTACCAATGTCCTAAAATTTGGAACTCCCTCCCTATTTCAGTCACTCGTTCGTCAAACTTTCTCAGCTTTAAAACGAAATTGCAAGAGTTTTTACTTAAATAATCACTGAATTGGCCAAGCCGCACATTAGCAGTATTTTTTCTTTACTTGATTTATTATTGTGAGGTGGCTCTCCCATAAGCACGGTGGCTTCTTGGGTCTCCTCGCCTTCTAACTGTTATCGCTGTAATTAAATATTTTTATTGTTAAAATAAGGCAAATAAGAGATTATGATGATGATGATGATGAAATCATTTTACTCAAAACAATTTGAAAACATCGTGTGGCGTTGCAGAATAACCTATGGCTAAACAAATAAACTCACGGCAAGGCAACATCAGCTCACGGCAAAACAAAATCAACTCCCGGGAAAATAAAATAATTCACGGCAAAACAAATCCAGCGTGCACTTATGGGCCGCTGTACATGTATTTCCCACCTTCACACGTCAAAAAATCGTTTTTCTTTTATTAAACTACTTTGAACTCAGACATTTTACCTAATGTTTCAGAAAGCAAATCGAAATCAAATAATGCTTAATAAATCAGGAGGGTGTCGTAATCTCCTACCTGAGCGAGTTTTCGCGGCAACGGCTCATCTTTATATTATTTGTATTTTGTTTACATGGCAGAATGACAAAATTCCGCACACAGTCGAAGCTTATGAAAATATCTTTGCTCGTGGAAAAAATCAAAAGCAGTTATTCAAAAAGTCTATGGGTACAAAAAAAAGAAATGGAAATAAAAAACAGGCCCAGAAAAGGAAAGGAAAAATCCTTGGTCAAAGCAACTCACTCGTT